GCGTGCCCCCAACACAGTGTAAACCCCCATGTTGACGCCCACGGCCCCCACCGTGCGTGCCCCCTAACACAGTGTAAACCCCCATGTTGACGCACACGGCCCCTACCATGCCCCCTAACACAGTAAACCCCCACCCTGGGGCTAACCCACGCAGAGCTTGGGTGTCCCGTGTGAGGGGAGGGACTCTGGGCAGCCCCCAGTGGGAAGCAGGATCCCACAGGTCCAGGGAATGCAGGGAGCTGTGTGGATTGACTCAGCAGGACTGGCCCAGGACTGGCAGACAAGCCTGAGCCGGTGCAATCTGGGCAGCATGGGGAAGGTGGGGCGGGCTGGCTGCCCTTCTGGAACTTTCCGTCCCTCTCTGCAGGCTGCCACAGGGCCAGTCGCAACGTCTGGGGCTGCAGAGTCGGGGGCTGCCGAGTCGGTACCCAGGGTGGTTTCTGGAGAACCCCAGAATATTTGTACGTTTACTGGGATGACCTAGGGGCGGGAGGGGGGACAGGCACTGTGCCCCCTGCTGGTGACAGTGCAGCCCGGCCCTGCTCCAGGGACAATACTGGAGGGGCTGGAGCCATTCATTGTCCGTTTGAGGGGTGGGCTCTTGGACTTTAGCCAGCGGGAAGGGCACGGGGGCACGGGGGCGTGGAGCTACGGCAGGAGCCACCCGGCCCCCCTCTGCCCAGCCCCCCCCCCCACCGTGTCTGTGGCACATCCACCCAGGGTGGGGCAGGCTGATAGCAACGTCCGTGTACAGCCGCGTGCGTTCCTGACGGTGGGCGTGGCCCCCAGCAGCCTGGGACCCAGCCACAGCAGAGGCCTGACTCCTGGGCTGTGGGGTACCCTGGCTGGCAGTGGGAGCCCCTGCCCTCTGCACTTACTACAAGCTCGGTCGGGCTGAGACCCTCGGAGGGCTGCCCACCAGGCATGGCCACTGCCATCTGGGTCGGGGACACGGTCAGACACACAGGCTGTGTGCCCCGCCCAGGTTCGGGTCAGTGTCTGTCTCGAGGGAGACCCCGTGCCACCAACCTGTTCCTGGTGGGGAAGGGTCTGGGCCCAGCCCAGCTGTGTCTGACCCTCTGCTGTGGCCAAAGCTGATGTGGACGCCTTCAACCTGCTGCTGGAGGTAAAGCTGAAGCGGCGGCATGAGCGGCCCGACCTGCCTCGCACCGTGACGGAGCTGGTTGCTGAGGACGGCAGCCGCGTGTATGTGGTGGGCACGGCCCACTTCAGCGACGACAGCAAGAGGGACGTCGTCAAGGTGGGGGCTGCCAGGGGCAGGGTGAGGGCTGCCGGGGGCAGGGCTGCGGTGGGGTCTGTAGGTGCAGGCCCAGGGCTGCCAGGGGGCAGGGCTGTGGCGGGCTGAATCCCAGCCAGGCAGACTCACTGGCCAGGGGTTCCTTGGTCTGAATGACCACAGGTGCCCACCCCGCTGTGGGCCTCACATCCCTGCCACCCAGCCTCCATGCTGGCACCAAGCGGGAGGAGAAGGAACCCCCACTTCACCACGGTTGGCACATGCCACCTGGCAGAGGGCCTCCCGGGGTTGTGGGAGGGTCCAGCCTCCAAGACCTGAAGAGCCGTCTGCTGTTCCTTTAACGATGAGCCAACGCCTCGTGGCGCGCTCTCTGGTTGCTTAAAGAATTGCATCATCGCCTTAGCAGCGGGGTAGCTGGCACTGGAGTCCCTAGCCCCGGCTACGGGGTGGCTTGCCGAGCAATAACGCTCCACTGTTGCAGACCATCCGGGCAGTGCAGCCCGACGTGGTGGTGGTGGAGCTGTGCCAGTACCGCGTGTCCATGCTCAAGATGGACGAACGCACGCTGCTGCGTGAGGCCAAAGAGGTCAGCCTAGAGAAACTTCATCAGGCAGTCCGGCAGGTATAGGGGGCGCGGAGGGCTGGGGCTATGCGGCCGATATGGGGTGGGGGCTGGGAGCGTCTGGCAGGTGTATGGGGGTGGGCGCAGAGGGTATCCAGCATGTACATGGGGCGGTGGTTGGGGGGCAGGGGCATCAGGCAAGTATGGGGTTTGGATGTCAGGTAAATATAGGAGGGGCAGAGGTGGCAGTGGCATCTGGCAGGTCTCCTTGGTCTCTTGTAGTAAGTGGGTAGTGCCCCTCCAGCAGACCTCCGCAGGGTCCCAGCCTGGCTCCTCAGGGCCTCCGGGTGGTTCTGGGGTGCACCCTCCCCTGCAGATGAAGTGACCGAGGCTCAGGGAGTCCACATGCTCAGCCACAGGACCCCAAGTTACCGATGCATCCCCCACCATCAGCTAGGCCCAGGGCTGTGGTCACAGAGGCCCTGAGGCAAGCCAGGAGGACAGAGGTGCCCAGCCTGCCCGGCCACCTCTCCCTAGAAGTCATGTGAACTGTTCTTGATTCCCCGCACCAACGTGGACAGCACACATGGGTATTGCCAACTGGGGATGCTCACCCAGGGTGGCATCCAGGGTTTCTACTGGGGTTGGTCATGGCAGCATGCCTGACCACCCCCATGGCTGACCTCAGTCTCCAGGCCCTCCGGGGTCAAACTGATACCTCGTGGCCCAAAGCCTCCACCAAGCCACGTTCTTGGTGCAGACTCTCGTGGGCCCAGGGCCTCCATAAAGCCACGTTCCTGGTGCAGACTGCCGTGGGGCCAGGGCCTCCA